CTAGCATATTTAAAGGCTATAGAACAAAAATCACCCAATTTTAACAGTCTGTGTAGAAAAAGCATTTGACAAAATTTAACAGTCATTCATGTTTAGGTTTTTTTATATTAAAAGGGCTCATTAAAATATAAGTGGGAGGGACTGGAATTGTGGCTCAGTGGTAGAGCACTTGCCTAGCATGTGTGAGGCACTGGGTTCAATTCTCAGCACCACATAAAAATAAATAAATAAAATAAAATTTTTTTTAAAAAATGTGTGTATACACACACACACACACACACACACATATAAATGGGAATTCTATATAGGCAACTTGATCAAGAGCACCAATTAAAAAAAAAAAACTAACATGATGAAAAACTTATTTCCTGTCCCCTAAGGTAAGGGTATTTATTTTCATGACTCTTATTACACAACAGTAGTGCTGAAAGTTCTAATCACTACAATAAGGGAACACAAAGAAATAAAAGACCTGTACTTGTAGATGACATTGTCTCTCTAGAAACTCCTGAGGAATTTATCATGCACCCCCCCAAATAGAACAGTAACTAACATTGATTTTAGGAAGTTCACAGGATATAAGCCAGCTGTATAAGAATCAAGCACATTTATGTATACTAGCAATGACTATCTAGACACCAAAATTTAAAATACAATGTTATTTACAATTCTAAAACAATAATAAAGTATCTTCAGCAATAGCTAGTACACCTGGATATCTGTATGGAAAAAAAATTGAAGTTGACTCCTTCCTCACACCAAAAAAAAAAAGAAAAAGAAAACTCAGATGGATCAAATATCTTAAAATAAGGACTACAGCTAAGGAATTCCTTTAAAAATATAGGCAGGAGCCGGCCACAGTGATGCACGCCTGTGATCCCAGCAGCTTAGGAGGCTGAGGCAGAAGGATCTGAGGCAGTAAGGCTCTAAGCAACGCAGTGAGACCTTGTCTGTAAATAAAATACAAAATAGGGCTGGGGATATGGCTCAGTGGTTAAGTGCCCCTGAGTTCAATTCTCAGTTACCAGCCCCACCCTCCCCCCCACATCCCCACACCCCCCCAAAAGAAAATATATATATATATTATATATATATATAATATATATATATGGGAATGTCATATGATATTGAATTTGACAATGGCTTTTTAGATATAACATTTAAAACAAGAAACAGCACTTCTCAGAAGAAGATATACATTCCATCAACAAATATGAAAAAATGTTTAACATCTCTAGTAATTAGAGAAATGCAAATCAAAACTACTCTTAAGATTTCATCTTACGCCAGTCAGAATGGCAGTTATCAAGAATATAAACAACAATAAATGTTGGCAAGGATGTGGGGGAAAAGGCACACTCATTTAGTGCTGGTGCTACTTCAAATTGGTACAATCAATCTGGAAAGCAATATGGAGATTCCTTAGAAAGCTTGGAATGGAGCCATCATTTGACCCAGCTATCCCACTCCTTGGTCTATATCAAAAAGACTTAAAATCAGCATACTATAGTAATGCAGCCACCTCAATGTTTATAGCAGTTCAATTCATAATAGTGGAACTATGGAAGCAACCTAGGTGCCCTTCAATAGATGAATGGATAAAGAAACTGTGGTATATAAACACACTGGAATATTACTCAGCACTAAAAGAGAATAATGGCATTTGCAGGTAAATGGATGTAGTTGGAGAATATTATGCTAAGTGAAGTAAGCCAATCCCAAAGCAACAAAGACGAATGTTCTCTCTGAAGTGGATGCTGATCCATAATGGGGGAGGGGGGACATGGGAAAAATGGAGGAACTTTGATGGGGCAAAGGGGAGGGAGAGGTGGGGAGGGAGTATGGGAGCAGGAAAGATGGTGGAAAGAGATGGACATCATTACCCTAGGTACATGTATAACTGCACATATGATGTGTTGCCTTATCATGTACAACCATAGAAATGTAGTTTTGCTGCAGTTGTGTACAATGAATTAAATACATTCTGTTATCATATATACCTAATTAAAATAAATAATTAAGATTAAAATATTAGGTATAATAGGAAAAAAGAATATGTTAATATTAAACTGCAATTATCTTTTGAGAGACAAACAAATGGCTTAAGAATGAAAAAAAAGAGAGCTGGGGATGTGGCTCAAGTGGTGGCGCGCTCGCCTGGCATGCGCGCCGCCTGGCTTCGATCCTCAGCACCACATACAAACAAAGATGCTGTGTCCGCTGAAAACTAAAAAATAAATATGAAAAAAAGAAACAGAAGAAAAAATAAGATATTGACTTCATCAAAATCAAAAAGTTTTGTTCACCAAAGGACACTATGAAGTGTAAACAGACAACCTATAAAACCTTGCAAATCATATATCTAATAAGGGTCTAGTATCAGAATACTTAAAGAACTCTTGCAACTCAACACCAGAAAAGCAACCCAATTAAAAAGCAGCCAAAGGACTTGAATAGACATTTCTCCAAGGAATACACAGGAACAGAAACAAAACATGAGAAGATGCTCAAATGTTCTTCAACAGGTGAATGGTTTAAAAGTATGGTAATCCATACCATGAAATATTACTCTGCAATTAAAAGAAACCAGCAAAAACCTAGATAATCTCCAGAGAATTGTGCTGGGGGGGGGGGAAAAAAAAAAAAGCCAGGGTTGAGGATTTAGCTCAGTTGGTAGAGTGCTCGTCTTGCATGCACAGGGCGATGCATTCAATCCCCAGCACCAAAAAAAAAAAAGGCCAACATTACACGTTATGTACTGTATTATAGCTTCTTGTTCTTGTTGCTGGGAGTCAAAGCCAGGGCGTCATGCATGCTAGGCAAGGCAAGTAGTTGTTCTATCCCAACCTGTTAATATTTTTGAAATGATCGTATTGTAAATATGGAGAATTAATAGCTGCCAGAGAGGCTGGAGTTACAGGTCAGTGGTAGAGCATTTGCCCAACCTGTGCTAGGTCCTAAGTTCTATCATCAGCAACAGGAGGAAAAGAAAAAAAAAAGCTTTTAGAGGTTAGAGGGTGGAGCTAGAGGGAAGTTGCCGTAAGCTATAAAAGATTAAGTGAGGAAGGAAAGTCTCTCTGTTGACTATATCAAGGTGAGATATTGTACTATAGTTTTATAAGATGTCACCCTTGGGGGCTGGGGATGTGGGTCAAGTGGTAGCGCGCTCGCCTGGCATGCGTGCGGCCCGGGTTCGATCCTCAGCACCACATACAAAACAAAGATGTTGTGTCCGCCGAGAAAAACTAAAAAATAAATATTAAAATATTCTCTCTCTCTCTCTCTCTCTCTCTCTCTCTCGCTCTCTAAAAAAAATAATAATAATAATAAGATGTCACCCTTAGAAGAAACTGAATAAATGATACCAGGGATCTTTGTGTATCATTACTTAGAATTTCAATAAAGAGCTAAGATTTTTTAATAAAAGTATGAGAACAAATGCATGGGAAATATGTATTTATTCCTTGGGTTGTGTTCTTATCTACAGCGAGTTTTTTGCACCTTTTGCCTAATTTGTTTTTTTTCTGTTTCCTGCTCTAGTGCCTTTGCTAAGTTTCCATGCCATATTTTTTTCCTTAGGCTTATACTCTGGTAGAACATGGATGAGATTCTCTTTCATACATTGCCCATATTACCTGGAACTAATTTATCTTTTTCCCCCAGCCTGCAGGTACTGCATTTTGATCCGCTGTTGTGTGTAGACTGTAGGGATAGAGGAGTTTCCTCAGCCAAATGCAGAGTTTGAATGAAAGGGTAGATTCATCATTATACAAAATATATGTAAGAAGATTTGAAGTTGGTGTCAACATACCTTATATACAAACAGAGAGATTAAAAATTTTGGTATATATGTGTATTAAGAATTGTAATGCAAAAAAAAAAAGAGTACATGTATAATGGCATTTTTAAAAAAGGGTAGATTCTGTTCTCTCTGATCCCATTAAATATCCAACACCTGCTCTACCCCTCCAAGGCATATTCCGCCCTGAGGACTTTATTCCCTTAGTTAAACAGTGATTTAGGAGCTTGTAAGCCCTTGAAGCCCTTCCTAATGCTGCTCAAGTCACTCCCAGCTGGGTAGGAGCGTCTACTGGAGGTTTTCCCTAACTTGTCTTAGGACTGTCTTCTCACCCCATTAACCTACTTTTCGCTGAATTGAAGGTTTTAATGCAATAATCTCATGTTCTCTTCTATTACTGAGAAGTAGGTTATAGAGGTAGAATTAGGAGACATGATGGAGATTCTATACTTGAAATTAGTGTTTCTTTCTCTGACTGCTCTTTTTTCCAAAGAACACTTAAAATTGTACCCCCTTTTGGTGTTTGTTTGCTGCTGATAAATTTATTAGTGGTTTTATTTTCCTTTGTTTCTTTCTTCTTCAGTTTCTTAATAAATAACACAATCTACTTCATTTATTACCTTTAATGGAATTTTCACCTTTTTTTAATATTTATTTTTTAGTTATAGGTGGACACAATATCTTTATTTTATTTTTATGTGGTGCTAAGGATCGAACCCAGTGCTTCATGCATGCTGGGCAAGTGGTCTTCCTCTGAGTCACAATCCCAGCTCAAATTTTCACCTATTGATTTGGTAATTAGGAAAAACAAGTGTTTGCAAGTATTTCTAAGGTTCAGCTAAAGCTCAAAGACTCCTGCTTTAATTTTCAGTGATATTAGAAAATATCTAGAGATCACATTTTGAAATGATATTTACTTTTCTGTTCTAAGCCCCCATTTTGGCCTGATCTAAGATTTTGCTTCCTGATGAAGTCCATCTTGTATTTCAAGTCTTTACTATTTTTCTCCTGCTTGAACAAAGATGATAATGTAATAATGTCAGGCAAAGTAACATACAGAAGGAATGACTACATCGCTCTTTTTCACCTTTTATTTTTTCCTGCAAGAATCATTTCTGGACATTATACCAAGAGTTCTAGTCTACATGTTTCATTTTTTGTTCTTGTGAGTATTTATTTGAAATTATTTAATTTTTTATAGGAACAAGTAATGAAAGAACCTGAAATTAACACAACCCTTCAGATGTACTTCTTTGGAAAAAGAGGAGAAAGAAAACTTCACTATAAAGAATTTCGAAGGTAATATAAATGTATTTATTTAGGAGAATGTTATGAAGTGCTGTGGCACATGCCTATAATCCCAGGAGCTTGGGAGGCTGAGGCAGGACCACCATGAGTTCAAAGCCAGCCTCAGCAAAAGCAAGACACTAAGCAACTCAGTGAGACTCTGTCTCTAAATAAAATACAAAACAGGGCTGGGGATGTGGCTCAGTGGTCAAGTCCCCCTGAATTCAATCCCCAGTACTAGGGGGAAAAAAATGTTAAGCATAAGAAATGAAGAAACTGGGGCTGGGGTTGTGGCTTAGTGATAGAGTGCTCGCCTAGCATGCAGGGGTTCGATCCTCAGTACCTCATAAATGTAAAATAAAGATATTGTGTTCATCTAAAACTAAAAAATAAATATTAAAAAAAAAGAAATGAAGAAACTGAATATATTCATTTCTCAACACTGCAGACCAAAAACTACTATACATGGGTCTATATGGCATTTTGTCTCTGAGAAATGAACCTATGAAGCATAAAGTTACTTATGCTGAAAATATTCTAATCTATTATAAAAAGTAATCTGTTTTATGGAATATAATAATTCTTTTTAGTAATTTTGTGTTTGCAACTAAGAGACATGCCCTTGGTGTCAGTTTATTCTTAATGCAAAACAAAGCAACCCATCTTAAAACACAGACCATTTATTATGCCCATGAGTCCTCAGGTCAGTTGGATGTAATTACAGTGGGGGCCAGGTTAGGTTGGTCTTGACTGGACTTACTCATTTGCAGTCTGCTGATAGGTTACCTCTGCTGAAACAACTTAGCTGTGCTCCACATGGTCTCTGATTCTCTAGCACAAGGGCTGGCCAGCTTTTTCTGCAAAGGGCCAAATGGTAAATATGGCCTCTGTCACAATTGCACAACTCTACTCTTGTAGTTTGAAAGCAGCCAAAAATAATACATTAACAGACATGTCCAAATTTCAGTAAAACTTTACATGAACCTTATTCTTAAACAACTTATTTAACTTCTCATTATCTGTAGAATGAGAATAATTTTATATATATATATATATATATATATATATATTCATATATATATATATTCATATATATACATACATATATGCATATATATGTATATATAGATGTATATACATATACACACACATGAATGTTTAAATATAGGATCCTGCTTAACTTCTTCCCAATGAGAGTAACTACATACAAAACAAGATACGTGCCTCCTTGTGCCACTCCATTAACCAAAGTCCTAAAACAGATATCAGAAAGCAGTACAGTATAGTAGGGAAAACACTGATTTGGGAAACACAAGCCTTGCATCTTGTTCAACTCAGTGGAGTTTAATAAAGACTTATTGAGTGCATACTATGTACTATTTGTCAGGCCATGTTTCAGACATTGGGAACAGTCCCTTATAGGGACATACAGAAACATTTAAATGCATTGTAATCAATGCTTTCATAGATTAAGAGGTATTTTGGTAATGCAGAAAATCATTTAGTGCTCCCTGTGTTGAAGTTTGGGAGCAAATGAGCAGGGAAGGACCCCATTAAAGAGGAAGACCGTGAATTTAAACAGATACTAATATGTGCAGCTATTGTATGATGTTCTTCAAGTCAGTTGAAGAAGCCTATTAGCATCCCAAGGGGACATAAGCAAGAAAGCTCATACTGAGAATATGAGCAAGAAAGTGGCTCAAACTAGCAAAAAGTGAAGTCTGCCTGGGCTTAATTAATGAGGAAAATGAAAAGATGATTACATAACAACCTCAGCACTGTTAGCGGCTACTGTTGAATACTTATGACATGTGTGGCATTTTTCTAAGCGTTTTATATATATTATCTTGCCTGTCCTTGTAAGGTGAGATAGGTATTCTTCCCTTTTATTACTGGAACCATTGAATATGTATCACACCATTCATCAGCTCCATTTAGAAATAAGATGTTGTCTTTGATCTGTGTGTCTCTATCACTCTCACTTGCACTTTCTCTCTCTCTATCCAGTCACCAAATACTGTTAATTCTTTTCTCATCAATAATCTCTTGGATTCTTCTTGCCTCTGACAGGTCTCTTTGCTTCATGTCAGATCTATCAGTGCAGACTTGAAATGCTTCCAGTTTTAGATAATATTCTGCTTTGACAAATAAACATGGCATTTAAAAATTTGTATATCCACTACATCCAGAAAATGTAGATAACAGACTTTTGCCTACCACATAGGAAGAAGCCCAAGATAAAACAAGTTTTTAAGGTTTGGAGGGAATTTTAAAGCAAATAATTGTTTACAGTGACAAATTTTCTCCCACTGCATTAGAATGTACCTCTTTTTTCACCCCATTTATTTTTATTTAAATTGTGACATGACAGTAAAGAAATTTTAACATGTAGAAAAGTGAGTAAAGAGATCTGTAACGTATTAAAACTCATGGAAATAATAATACTTTTCACATGATTTAGTAATAAAACAAGTGCAGCATTTCTGGGTCCTATTCAGATATCCTTTCAACTTGTACCTTTCCCAGGAGCTATTGATGAAAGTTTCATCAATGTGCCATGTTGTTTTTATGAGAAAGGAATGTTGATCATATAGACATATGTTATTGTCCAAAAGATTATCGATATCTTTAGGAAGATCTTTCAATTCAAAGCCATTGGTTACGTATAAATTTTGATATCTGAAAAATTTTGGAAACTATTAATTATGATTAACATTCTAAAAGCAGTGCCCCTTAAACTTGTCTGATCATTGATAATGTTTCTATATTGGAAAAATTGTTTTCCATGGAATTTTATTTTCTTTGGATATATCAAAACAATTTACATAATTTTAAAATATTTATCAAAATGTAGATTGCCAGGGCTGGGGTTGTGGCTCAAGTGGTAGAGCACTTCCCTAGCATGTGCTAGGCACTGGGTTGATTCTCAGCACCACATATAAATAAATGAATGAATGAATACATCCATCAACATCTAATTAAAACACACACACACACACACACACACACACACACACACACACAAATGTATATTGCCAGATATAATTTACACAAATAAATTGAGTATGGGAAGTCAGAGATTAAATGAAGCAGGCATTGAACCTTACCAACTTCTCTGCATCTTCTTCCCCACAAGCCTTTTTATAGCAATAACACTATAACTGCTCACTATATCAAGATACCTGTCAATCAGGAGGGAATAATGAAGGCACTTTGAAGTCCTATTTACAATATTATGGTCGAATGCTATTAATTGCTTTTATCAATTTTTTTGTATTTTAATATTTAGATTTACAGAAAATTTACAAACAGAGATTCAAGAAATGGAATTCCTTCAGTTTTCTAAAGGTTTGAGTTTCATGAGAAAAGAAGACTTTGCAGAGTGGCTACTTTTTTTCACTAACACTGAAAATAAAGACGTTTATTGGAAAAACGTTAGAGAGAGGTTGTCAGCAGGAGAGGTTCGTATGCCCTTTTCATTTGCATGTGATAAAGATGAAATAAGTCAGCATTTTCTGTTTTATTAAAGTAACTTCTAAGTTAACCAAGATTGTTCTTTTATGGAACTATAAAATCAAGTTGAAGAATATTTTCCACATACTGTTTTCCTATGAATGAACTACTAAGACAGAATTAGTATAGTAATCATGAGTTTACATTACCACTAAAGTTAGGAACAAGAATCTCCTCTTACCACTGTTATTAAATATATGTTGGAGGACCTTAGCCATTGCAAGTAAGTAAGATTATTTTTTTAAAGAGTATAAAAATTGGAAGGTAACAATTGTCTTTCCACTTGATATGATTTTGTGCCCAGAGAATCCAGTCAAAAAAATCATTAGAAACAATAATTCAAGTAAATGCCTATTGCAGTGCTAATATATTAGAAGTACCTGTCCTAGATACAAATTTCAAGTTAGAAAATGTAATGGGGTGTGTGTATGTGTGTGTGAAGTATAGAATGATGACCACCAAACTATTAGTAATGATTACTGTACAGTAGTGAGATTCCAAGTGATTTTTACTTTCTCTCTTAATACTTTTATGTATTGTTCCAAAAACCATTTTGCGGCAGACATATAATTTTATATAACTTTTTTAAAAACACTATTTCTAATGTGAAAGAAAATATTAAACATAAAGATCCCATTATAACTGAAATATAAATATATAACAATTAGAAATACATCTAACAGTGGCTGGGGTTATAGTTCAGTGGTAGAGTGCTTGTCTCGCACACATGAGGCACTGTGCACTGGGTTCAATCATCAGCACCACATTAAAAAAATAAAGGGCTGGGGACATAGCTTAGTAAGTGATTGCCTTGCAGGCACAAGGCCCTGAGTTCAATCTCCAGCACCACAAAAATAAAATAAAATAAAATAAAAATAAAGGTATTGTGTTCATCTGCAACTAAAAAAAAAAGAAAAAAATGAAGAAAGCTTTCTAATGTTGATGGCTATCAAAGAAAACTTATCTACATTATATATGGGATATATATATATAAAATAACGGCCACTCTTCCTTTAATAGGTCTATAAATATAATGATTTTATTACTTAGAACATCCTAGATTTACTGCAGTTACAAATTAACTGGTTATTTAAAAAAAGATATTTTGTTTTAGTTGTAGTTGGACACAATACCTTTATTTTATTTTTATGTGGTGCTGAGGATCGAAACCAGCATCCCACATGTGCTAGGCAAGGGCTCTACCGCTGAGCCACAACCCTAGCCCCTGATTAATAGACTGTTAATAAAATAAAGCAAAGTCTAGAAATGTGTGAAGAGGATGTTCCCACCGTAAAACAAGATTTTGTGTATGTGTATGTACACGTGAAATAGTATACAAGTAGAATATTTCTGGTAGGATGAACAGGTGTCAGTGCTTTATCTCTGGGGAAAGGAATTGAAGATTAGAAGAGTAACAAAATTTTTTTCATTATTTATACTTTGTACTGCTTGAATTTTTATGATGTTCACAGCCAAATTGAGCCAGAACATTAGGGTAGATTGCAGAAAGGCCAAAAAAAGTGCCCAGAGCGCAGCAAGACATATGTTTTACTGGGAAAAGCTTAAGAGAGTTTAGTGACTGCTTCAAGAAGAGTTCAGTAGCAATTGACTGAACACATAGCACCTCTGTCCCTCATTGTTTTGCCAAAGAGTTTCTCCTCTCCCTTATCTTTTTTTGTCCAGTGGCAGCCAGCTGGATGAATAATACATATCCTTTCCACAATGCCCTCAGTTCTACACTAGTTCTCACTCAGGGAGTTTATATATTAGGGTATAGAAGCAGTGACATAATCAGCATTAGCTTGCTTAGTTTGCTTCTATGACCAGTATCCCAAGGAGTAACTACCCTGATGTACATGCAGGCAAGTAGCTTTCTACAGATAACACTAACTTGCCCCAGTTCTCAGTATGCATAAGAAAAAGCCAGTGTCCTTCAAGATACTATGTATTTGGACATTAAGGGACATAGTGTTTTACCATCCCCCTTTTCTTAAAGGATGCTACATGTTCATATTACTTCTTTAGAAACTTGAGTAAGACCACACATATGCAAAGAACATCATCCTGAAGTTCCCTACAAGTTCCCTTCACTTTTCTAAAAATAGTGAAAATGTTTCTTTTAAGTTATGAATTTTTATACTTTTTACTTTAATTTTTTTATAGTTGTAGATGGACAGAATGTCTTTGTTTATTTTTATGTGGGCTGAGGATCAGACTTAATGCCTCACACATGCAAAGCAACTGCTCTGCTGATGAGCTACAGCCTGAGCCCTATACTTTTTACTTTTAATGGAAAAATTATCTTTTAATATTTTTTTTGTTTTGTTTTGAGGGATTTCTTTGGGGTTTTTATTTGTCTGTTTCATAGGGTTGGAGATGGAATCCAGGGCTATACATGTGTTGGGCAAGCATTCTACCACTGAGCCATATCCCCAGACCTTTGTTTTTATTTGAAATACATAGATTTTGAAGTCAGATGGACAAAGTTCCACATCTAATTGTTCCACTTAATAGACCTGGTCAAATTACTTAACTCCTAAAGGATTACTTACCTAAAACTTTCGCTAAGATCACCAGAGTAAGTGGCAGAACTGGAATTTCAACGTTAAGTCCATCTCCAAACCTAAATTCTCTTATTCAGTACTATGTTCACTAGTAAAACTAAGCAGAAGTGGCCACTTAACAGACTGTGTTAGTTTCCTTGAGCTACCATAAGAAAATACACCAACTGAGCAGCTTAAACAATACAAATGTATTTCCTCACTATTCAGGAGGAAGTCAAAATTCCAGCAGGGCTATTATCTGGTAAGGTCTTCCTTCTCAGCTTGCTCACAGCGCCATCTCTTTTTGTCCTCATGCGACCATTTCTTTGTGCACACATAAGGAGACCTAGTATTCACAAGAGTGAATGAGTTCTGATATCTCTTCTTCTTATTGGACACCAGTCTTATTGAATTAGGGCTCAATTCCTATTATATATTCATCTCCTTACAGGCCCTGTCGCCAAAATAAAGTTACATTGGGGATTAAGGCTTCAAAATATGAATTCAGTCCATAACTCAGGGCCGCCCCAAGGTTTACAATGTACAACTCGAGGAGACCCCATTCACACAGTCTCCAGTCTATACAGTCACAGAGTCTGTGGCCCTACTAGTTATTCTCACACTGTTCTTAAATTCTAAAACCTTTAATTCTAGTATTATTCTGCGTCTTGAACTTTTTAATAGGCTTGCTTAGATCTAACTTTATAAGCTTTATGATAGAAAAGACGACTCACAATTATATTCATAAGATTGCTTAATGTTTTTATAAAATTGTAATAAAACCTCTTTATTTTTATTAGAGCATTAGTTTGGATGAGTTCAAGTCATTTTGCCATTTTACAACCCACTTGGAAGACTTTGCTATTGCCATGCAAATGTTTAGCTTAGCTAATCGACCTGTCAGACTAGGTAAGATATATGAATCATTTTTTTTTTAATATTTATTTTTTAGGTGGACAGAACATCTTTGTTTGTATGTGGTGCTGAGGATCGAACCCGGGGCGCACGCATGCCAGGCGAGCGCGCTACCACTTGAGCCACATCCCCAGCCCCTAAATCATTTAATTTTTATCATCCATAAGCTATTTCTGTTTTTCAACTAGATGATACCAACCAAGGAACCAGTTTTCAGCAAAATAATTTTCCTTTTATTTCTATATAGTTATTCTAGATTTACAATATCAAAAGATTTATTCAACAGTTACTGTTTTGCTTTTGTTTCTCATTCTCCTAAAAAGGAAAGGAAATATTTAAATATGTGGCTAACATTTCAATTCAATTAAAATATCTTACTTAGACTTATAGTTACTCTTATGTCATTTCTAAACCAAATTTATTATTTGAATAAATTCATTATGAGTATTTTTGTATTTTAGTTCCCAAATAATAAAACCTTAGATTTCTTTTTACTTCTCATATAATGAAAATTTAGATAATTCCACTTACACTGTTTCACCTATTTGATGGGTTGTTTTTTGTTTGTTTGTTTAAAGCGGAGTTTAAGAGAGCTGTAAAAGTAGCAACAGGACAAGAGCTCTCAAACAATATTTTGGACACGGTCTTCAAGATCTTTGATTTGGATGATGATGAATGCCTTAGCCATGAAGAGTTTCTTGGGGTGTTAAAAAACAGGATGCATCGAGGTTTATGGGTAACATATTTTGAGTTTTTAAAAAACTACTTATTATATGTTACTAATATTGATAATGTTATTATCAATGGGCAAATTACAGAGTCTTAAATGGAATTTTAACCATTTATAAAGCAATTATAAGCTATAGTTGAAACATTGAAATATCTTTTTCATAAAATGAATTTCAGCATTTTTCTTTGCTTTTAAAAAAATTTGAACCTAATAGATACCACTATTCAGAAATCAGCCTAGGATTTGACTTTGGGCTCTATAGTCATACAACCTCTTTAGATTCAAATCTGGCTTTATCGTTTATTAACTGCTGAATTTTGCATAACTTAATTTTCTGAGCCTCCAGTCATATTTCTCATCTGTCTAATGAGAATACTGATAAAATCTACCAGAAAGAATTATTAGAATTGAGTGTAAAATACTTAGCACCGCAACTGAGACACATGAAGTAAATATTAGCTATTATAATTATTCACTCATCTTCACCTATTGGTCTATAAAATAAACTTGGAATTTATTTAGATTAGTATCTGCTGGAAGCACTCATGAGAGATATCTGCAAAGGTTTCCAAAACTAGGTTCCAAAGAGAATCTACATGGTACATAGGGAGGTAGTTAGGCTGGAAGAAAGAGGATAATAGAATATACAGTGTCCAAGTTCTTGCAGATAAGGCTATTCATTTACAACTTAGAAAAGTAAGCTCAGTTTTCTGCAACAAACATAGTTTGTAGAAAATTAGTAAATTTGATTTTCATTAGTAAGTTTTACAATATAATTCACCTTCAGTTTTTCTAGGGAGGAGTGTGGGAAGGAAATAAGCAAAACCATAAAGCTCACATGAAATAATGTTTATCCTTGAAGAAAATGACTGTATATTTTACTGTTGGTCAACAGGTGCCACAACAACAGAGTATACAAGAATACTGGAAATGTGTGAAAAAAGAAAGCATTAAAGGAGTAAAAGAAGCCTGGAAACAAGCTGGAAAAGGCCTTTTTTAAATTAAAATAATAATAAGGCAATTATATTGCTCCAAATGTCAAAATTTGATATTTTTTAAAAAATACTTGCTGCTCTTCCTTTTAAGTCTTCACTGATTTCCTTTGTAATATAGAGATGCCATATATTTGCTCTCTAATTCAATAATTTCTTGATATGTTTTCAGAAAAGAACTTTTTAGGAAGGAAAATATTGTTTTATAAAATCAGATATTGGATTCTGTCCAAAGACCTAATTCCAAGTAACATTTAGTGCTTTGGGAAGATGGAAAAGCTTACTTCTTCACTGATTCTTTAGACACAAAAGCATGATACGCTTTCTGGAAGAGTGGATAAGTGCTTATGGGAAAAAAGTACTTGATTCACAAGGCCAGTGTTGATTTCAGAAGTTGTGATGTTCCTAATAGGGTAAATGAAGTTAAAACTTGAGACTTTTCTCATTTGCATCGTATCTCATGTCTGTTTTATTTCAGTTAGCTGTACATTTGGTGTCTTTAAAATAACATGTAAAAAATGTTTGTATCTTATATCTGGAAGCAGAATAAAATATTCACACATACAAAATATGCAGATGCTTCTTATTTTACATATATTTTAGTACCACATTTTAAAAATGTAAATACTTTAATTCCTTGCCACTTTCGCTAGTTTATGTTCTTAAAAACTAGTGTAGGGTTGGGGGTGTAGCTCAGCAGTAGAGCACTTTCCTGGCATGCTGGAGGCCCTGAGTTTGATCTCTAGCACTGGGAGGAAAAAATTAAAAAGTGTGGTTGGGGAGAATTTTGATCACAAGATCAGGATATCATGAAATATACTGGGTTGTGGGAAATGTTTAAAGTGATACTAGAAATTAACAGGCATTAAAGCAAATATAAAATTGTGTAAAATGGTTACTTCTTTTTAAAATAAATGATCAATAAAATTTACTAAAAAAAAAATATGCTTCTTGTGGCTAGGGTTGTGGCTCAGCAGTAGAGCACTTACCTAGCGAGGTGCTGGATTTGATCCTCAACACCACATAAAAATAAGTAAATAAAATAAATGTATTTAAAACCAGTTTTACCTCTAGAGAACTGCTCATTCCAGGGCCATGGCCGGGTCTGTAATGTCTTTTGTGAATTAAACAACTAAGCAACTTAGCACATGTCTCAATAAAAAATAAAGGTTTGGGGTTGGGGCTCAATGGTAGAGCACTTGCCTAGCATGTGTGAGGCACTGGATTTGATCCTCAGCACCACAGTAAAATAAATAAAATAAAGATATTGTGTCCCATCTTCAACTAAAAATATTTTAAAAAATAAAGGCTGAGATGTGGCTCAGTGGTTAAGGCACCCCTGGGTTAAATCCCCAATACCAAAAAAAAAAAAAAAAAAAGGAGGGCTCATGAAAAAACAGGGAGTCAAATGAACAAAGCCAACTTGAAGGACCTTCCCAGCCAAATCTGGTACTGTTTGAGCATCAAAATAATTTAACGTCAGCCAGGCTCAGTGGAGCATACCTATAATCCCAGCAGCTTGGAAGGCCAAGACAGGAGGATCACAAGTTCAAAGCCAGCCTCAGCAAGGGCAAGACACTAAGGATATTCAGTGAGACCCTGTCTCTAAATAAAATACAAAAAGGGACTGAGGATGTGGCTCAGTGGTCAATTGCCCCTGAGTTGAATCCCTGTACCAAAAATAAAAATTAATGCCAGTAATAGATTATAAGAATATCTGTATGACACTATCACACGGTTTTGATTATTGCAGTTTTCAGGGAAGTAGTGATATCAGAAAGTATAAGTCTCCAACTTTACAATTAGTCCTCCATCAATTTGCAATTAGAGCAAATTGATGTTTCTTTTTTTAATTTTTTTTAGTTGTTTATGGACCTTTTATTTTATATGCAGTACTAAGCATCAAACTCAGTGCCTCACACGTGCTAGGCAAGTGCTCTACCACTGAGCCACAACCCCAGCCCAA